GTGGCTGACCTTTCTAGAAGATGGTAATATTCGAGTTATGACAGCAAAGCCTCCTGCGGACAACTGTGAGGCCCAGAAGGTCTGCGGGTTCCCTAGTCGGTTTTACAAAGGAGACAACAGGTGCAGGCAGGGCTGGGGAACCATTGAGGGCCGATGCGCCTAGTGCAATATGCAGGGAGAAAGTATAGGCAGAGAGATGAGACAGAGGCTGTACTGGGAGCTTCATGGGAGCAGAAACCATGGTTGTGTTCTTTGCTGCTGCATCCCAGTATCAGCACAAATTACCTTACCTTACCAGTTGCCATCAAGTCAACTCTGACTCATGGAGACCCCACGTGTGTCAGAGTAGAACTGTGCACCATAGGGTCTTCATGGATGATTTTTCAGAAGTAGATCACCAGGCCTTTCTTCTGAGGCACCTCTGGGTGGACTCGAACCTCCAACCTTCTGGTTAGTCACCAAACGTGTTAACCTTTCACACCATCCAAGGACTCCCAACACATAACAGGCACTCAATAAAACTTGCTGAGTGAACGAGTGAATGAATGAGCCTGTTACATCTGTCCAGCAGAGGATACAAAAGGCTGAGAGGAAATATAAGTACTGCTAACATTTAGTTACATTCTTCTAGTCTTATTTAGCATTCTAGTCTTATAGAAGCATTCCACCTTTGCACCAAAGATAATAACCAAAGCATCTCACGGTTCTGGGAAGAACTCTTTGCACAGATCAAAGCCATATTCTTCCAATCTGTGGATAGTATATTTAACCATTCTCCTAGTCTTGCCCATTCAGGGCGTTTCCAATATGTTGCTATAAAAACTCAGGCAGTGAGGATCAAGGAGTGGCAGTACAGCAGCAGGTGGCCTGGACTCTGGTGACAGACTGTGCTTTCAAACCTAGCTCCTCCACTAGTCTTTGCTGTGTGACTGTGGGTAAGCTACTTAACCTCTCTGTGCTCAGTTCCCTCACTGGATAAACAGGGAGAATGACAGCAGCTATCTCACAGGGTGCTGTGGGGTTAAATTTGTCAAAGTGTGTGGGACTGTTAAGAGGAATACATGGCCCACAGTAAGCTCTATGTAAGTGTTTGCGAATACTCTGCCAGCACTGACGACTTCCAGATTTCCAAACACTTCCTTAGAATGCAGTCCCAGATGTGGGATCACCAGGTCAACCTGTAGATTAGTTAGGAAGGTGCCTTTGAAAGTTCCAACAGTGCTAATAGTACAAAGGTCTTTAGCCCTGTCTCATTAGCTCAAGAATAGGACTCAGAGGGCCCACAAAGTAAATTTGCTCTACTATGTAACACCAGTGGGGCAGGGGTGGTTCAGTGGTAGAATTTTTGCCTTCCATGCAAGAGACCCAGGTTCGATTCTTGGCCAGTGTTCCTCATGCACAGCCACCACCCATCTATCAGTGGAGGCTTGCATGTTGCTATGGTGCTGAACAGGTTTCAGCGGAGCTTCCAGACTAAGACAGACTAGGAAGAAATGCCTGGTGATCTACTTCCGAAACTCAGCCAGTGAAAACCTTATGGATCCAAATAGTCTGATCCACAACCAATCACGGGGATAACACAGGACGGAGCAACATTTGGTTCTGTTGTATATAGGGTCACCATGAGTTGGGGGCCAATTCAGCAGCAGCTAACAGCAAGAAAAACAACATGTGCACCAGAATTCGCGCTGCCAACCCTTCTGCCGTTTGCTTGCGCTAACCAGTCCAAGCGGTCTCCAGGTAGCCCGGGAGAGAACACTCGCTCATCTACACCTTGGCTTACAAACCCAGAGGAGGACAGACCCCAAGCCGATGAAACTTGAGCTGCTGGGCCCCTCAGCAGCACCACACTTTGCTAGCGCTTGTATTTGACTTGAAATTCATAGCATAGTGTTATGTTTTCTTAAAGGAGACCCCCAGACTCTATACGCTTCTCGCTGCGCTGAGCCCAGAACTACACCTGCACGTACCGGGGAACTATTGTCTGCTTCTCCCCCAGATTATTAACATCTTGATGACAAGCTCTGTCTTACTTTCTGGTCCTTCTCGGTACTCAGCACAGTGCCAGTGACCTAGGAGACACTGGTGGATGTTTGCTGAATGAATGAATGAATAAGAAGGAAGGAAGGAAGGAAAAACGCAGCCCGAATTGAAATCTCACTCCCTGTGTTTCACTCAGTCCTCTTGAATTCCTTCCTCACAAATCGCCCAGTACAAGTTCACCCTCCCTCCGCTGGCAGGCTTTCAGATATGCAAAGGCTGCTCCCCCACGTCTCCTCTCTCCCCAGGAGTAACCCCAGTTCCTGCAACTGTTGTTCTGGCCTTAAAGGTCAGCAGCAAGGGAAATTCCACCAGCTGTCCCCTGCTGCCCATGTTAATATCTGCTATCTGCCAGAATGGCCTCCTATCTAATCTGAATTCCCTGGCTTCCAGTCTGTCTCCGGGCCAGCTGCTAACATTTCTCTTTTGGGAGGAATTGCTTGAATTCTGAGGGAGGGTGTCCCTGTGCGTGATTTGTCAAGCAGGAAGAAACGCAGAGAGACCAGGGGGCCTGCAGCTGGAGCCCCGCTTGTCTGGCCTGTGACCTCCTTCATCCTCACTGTCTGTCCTCTCCTATCAGCAGTGTGATTTGGTTCCATCATCACCTCCTCTGAGAAGCCCTCCTTAACCAACACACCGAATACACATCCTCTTGAGGCTCCTCCATAACAAATGAGTGTCTTGGCTGTGAGCAGCCCTAGCTGTTCCCCAGTGTACGTTGGCTTGTTGGCCAAGTGGAAACTCCTGTTACGCCCCTAATCCTGTTCTATCCAAGATGGCGCCATGATGGCGGGTCTACTGCCAGGTCCAAGGCCCCCTGCACTTGTCTGTCATATAAACTGGCCATGCTTAGCTCTGTTCTGAGACGGGATCAATTCCCAATCATCATTATTCTGCTCAACACGTTCTTGAAAGATTAAACCCATGACCTCTTCTCTATCATCTTTTGTCTCCACTCTTCCTCATTTTCTTCCTCTCGGTTTTCTATCTCCCTTGCCTGTATCTTCAGCTCCTAGGGAACACCGTGGCCGTTGCTTCTCTTCCTTTACAGGAGGCCCCATACTGAGACTGTGGTCCCAGAAGGGCTCAAGCTCATCTCTCTATCTCATCTACGTATTCATATACACAAACTAATAAATCCCAAGACCCAAGTGCTCAATTCCTACAGGAAGTCACACGCAGAAACTAGGCCATTGGCCCAAAGAAATGTTGGACACCGGTGGTTCAGTGGTAGAATTCTTGCCTTCCATGCGAGAGACCTGGGTTCAAGTCCTGGCAAAGGCACCTCAAGGGCAGCCACTGCCCATCTGTCAGTGGAGGCTTGTGTGTTGTCATGATGCTGAACAGGTTTCAGCAGAGCTCCAAACTAAGACAGACTAGGAAGAAAGGCCTGGTGATCTACTTCTGGAAAAACCCAAAAAAAACCAAAAAACTCCAACTCGTTGCCGTCAAGTCAATTCCGACTCATAGCAACCCTATAGGACAGAGTAGAACTGCCCCATAGGGTTTCCAAGGAGCGGCTGATGGGTTCAAACTGCTGATCTTTCAGTTAGCAGCCGAGCTCTTAACCACTGCGTCACCAGGGCTCCTTCGAAAAATCAGCCAGTGAAAATTCTGTGGAGCACACTTCACAACAGTCCAATACCACTGTGCATGGAGTTGTCAAGAGTCAGGAGCCGACTCAATGGCAGCTAATAACAATAACAACTATATATATATATATATATAAATCAACTCCATGGCAACCGATCGGTCATCTGTCTGTCTGTCTGTCTATCCAGCTATCTAAATCCATCTATCATCTACCTACCTACCTACCTACCTACCTGTCTATCCTCACTAACAATAATATAGGATTATAGTTACATACATACATGCATATCAGTCTTTCTTCTTCTTCCATCATGGCTACAATTATACACCAACTGGGTGTATAGATTGAATTGTATCCCCCTCAAAATGTGCTGAAGTCAAAACCTCCAGTCTCTGTGAATGTCTATGGCTGTGTCCCAATAAAACTTTAGCTACAAAAACAAGCCGGGCCAGATTTGGCCCGTGGGCCAGAGTTTGCTGACCCTTACTCTGGGGCACCCCAGAGTGTCATTCCAAGCCTTCTTTGGGATGACAAGTTCTTGTCATAGAAGGATCTTTCTCAACCCAGTTTTTTACTTAGTAGTTTTCATGAGAGCCCAGAAGGCTTCCCTTTAAGAAAAAAGATAGGCTGCCTGATACTCTGCCAAGCCTCTATCTTTAAGCTGAGGAAAAAGATAGTGTCCTTCCACAGGCATTTCCTCTGTGGAAAATTTCTAGTAGAGCAGGCCATGTTACAAAGAGACCAAGAGAACGGGAACATCACCCCTCTGCCCCCAACACAATCCATGGAAGAAACCAGTGACAAAATCATTTTAATTCTCCTGGACTGCAGACTACTGGCTTTCATGGGAGCTGAGGTAAACCCACACATGCTATTGCCCTTAGCCTTCCTTTTGAACCTTGAGCCTTGAAAAAATTGGTTCCTAAAAGCCACTTTCAAGTTAAACAATGGTCTAGATAAACTACTAGGACTGTTTTACTTTGGGCATTGTGCTGTTTTGAAGAAGTCAGTCAGACTCCAAAGGTCAGACTGGGAGCTATGTTTAGGGTAAATCGGTATTTATTTTAATTGTTCTTCAAGGCAATGCAGTATGAAAATCCTTCCTGACCACAAGTTTACCAGTTCTGTTCTAACCGTTTTTTCCATGGCAATGCTGATAAGACTTGCTATAAGAATTTTGGAGATTCTTCTCATCTTTGACAGTTTTGATACTCTAGTTGAAATGTTACCCCAATTTGTGATTCGTATATTCAATAAACTTAAATTTATATTACTGGATTAATATGAGTTTTGTTTTAACACCAGAAAAGGCAACACATCCCACACTTCTTCCCACTCGTGTGGGGACTGGTCAGTTGCCATTTACCTCAGCAGCCTGTGTGATCATCCATCTCGGTCCTCAGATGCAAATATCTTGGCCAGGAAGTTTGAAGCATTTGCTTATCACAGCCCTTGGGGATGCTAGTCACTTCTTATTGGCATTATCATTTCAGAAAGGTAGAGTTCCAAGATGGCACCCACTGGAAGGAAAGAGGAGGAAAGTTCATGTCAGTTTTGATAGTCAGTTCGTCCACGGCCTTTTAAAGACCATTCAAGGTAATTAAAATGCATTCACCTATTTGTCCGCTCACTCACCCAATTATACAGTTAGTCCTCAACTTACGACATATTCGAGTTACCAGGAACCACACTTACACTGTCTGTTTTGCTTTGCTTTTTGTAATATGTACTACATACATATGTAACATTTAGCAATATGTACTACATACAATGTAACAGTGTATAATTTGCTGATGTTACCATTCTCAGACCTTCACTCGCAGATGTTCAAAGATCAGATTTATAAAGACACTGATGATAAAAGGCAATAATAATGAAATTTTTTTTAAAAAGTATTCGACTTACTTCAGAACCAACTTACGATGGGGGTCATTGGAACGGAATCCCATTGTAAGTCGGGGACTACCTGCACATCAAATATTTTTTATACAAGCACCTATTGTGTTCCACACTGTCAAATGCCAGGTACGGAATGGTAAGTAAATCATAGTTCCTGCCCTCAAGGAGCTCAGTCTGGTGGAGGAAACAGACAAATAATTCAGGGCCATCTGATACAGGGATGTGAAGTGTGTTTGGGAAAACCAAGAAAGAAATGATGAACCCAGTTTGAAAAAAGAATTAGAAGAGGAGACGGTATTTTTAGCTGCTCCTTCAGCAAGACATAGCAAGATGCTGTTTCGCCAAAAGGAAAGGGTTGGGGAAAGTATATCCAAGAAAGAGGGAAAAAAAAAAAAAAAAAAAGTAAGACTTGAAAGTGAAAAACCTCCTTAGCGGTGGAGGACCGATTCTCTGATGGTGAGGTCTGGTGTGGGATCAGGCTTAGGGTAAATCAGGCTGATTTCAGATAGGAGATGACTTTGGAAGACTCCCTTGGGGATTGAGAATACTCACTGAAAGCAGCACTTAAGATTTTCCTGTGTACCAAGCATGGAGAGCTCCCCACATGCATTTTCTCTTCTAACCCTCTTAAGAAATTACACAGATGGCCATACTGATCATCCCCATATTACAGATGGGGGCACTGAGGCTTAGGTTGCCTTACTGAGTGGATTTGCTTAGGATGACAAAGACAGCAAGTGGCAAGGACACCCCCATTCTCTCTGGTTCCCAATCCTCATCTTAACCACTGACCTAGATGGATTAGTGCTGGGACGGCCCCTAGTTCGTCAGTGCCTCTTTGAACACACATCTCTTCACAGTGTGGTTTTACCTCCCCTCCCATCATGAAGGGAGCCCTGGTGGCACAGTAGTTAAAGCGTTTTGCTGCTAACCGAAACATCAGCAGTTCGAACCCTCCACAGGAGAAAGATGTGGCAGTCTGCTTCCGTAAAGATTTACAGCCTTGCAAACCCTATGGTGCCGTTCTACTCTGTCCTGTAGGGTTGCTAAGAGTCAGAATTGACTCGACGGCAGTGGGTTTTTTTGTTTTCTTGGCCCATCGTGAGAAAAAAACAAAAAGCCAAGCCAGTTGCTGTGGAGTTGATTTCTGACTCATGGCAACCCTATGCGTTACAGAGTAGAACTGCTCCATAGGGTTTTCGAGGCTATAATCTTTATGGAAGCAGACCACCAGGCCTTTCTTCCATAACGCCACAGGGTGAGTAAAACTGCCAACCTTTAAGTTAGTAGTGGAGCGCAAACCGTTTGGGCCACCCAGTACCCTAGTGAGTAAAATCTATTTCTCTACCCTTTGAAGCTGAGCTTGGCCATGTGATTTGCTTTGACCAATGGGACCACAGCAGACATGATACAAATAAAGGCTTACAAAGTACTTATGCCCAGGACTTCCCCTTTCTTGTAGTTGGGACTCATTCCGCCTCCATATCAACAAGCCTGGGCTAGCGCCTTGGAAGGTGACAAATAACATGGAGAGAGGCCCAAGACCTCCCAGTCACCCCAGCTGAGGCTTCAGACTTCTGAGCGAGGCCTTCCTAGGCCAACAGACCCAGCCAAGTGTCCAGACCAGAAGGAGAGCACAGAAACTCACAGAATCAGGAGAAATCGTAAACGTTTGTTGTTTTAAGGCACTAGGTTTGGGGCTGTTAGATATGCAGAAAAATCTAACAACCAGCCCCTTATCTTTACATTGCTGGCCATGGTGATAATAGAGCTAAACTTGCATGTTAGAAAGGAAAGTTGGGCTGTGTTGGGGACTGCCCAGAGATAATGAGGGCCAGGATGAAGGCAGGGCTGTGGGCAAGAGGGGTGGGAGATTCAAGAGCTATTTTAGATGTAGAATCAACAGGACTTAGTGACTGCTGAACCCAGGTTTGCCTAAAGGCCTGTGGCTCCGGAAACCACTCCTGGCGCTGACTCTGAGCGAGGTCTATTTGGAGCTCGCTATGAGGGCCGGATGTTTACATGAAGATACACCAGAGTGGCCTGAGTCAGGGGGTGAGGGCCCGGCCCCAGGAAACAGAAAGCAATAGGAATGAAGCGTCTTGGTAGGAAACTCTCTTTTTAGCTCCTGTGGTTTGAAATGAGAAGGAAGGTGGCTGCACCCTGCCGCAGCCTCCTAACTGGTCTTGCCTCTGCCACCCCTCTAATCAGTCCCTCACAGCAGCAGCCGTTGGTGGGAAGACCTCCCTCCCTCCCTGCCTCCCATCGCCAGCTCACACCACCCCCTTCCCTCTGTATTTCCTACTCACCCTGCAGAGTTCAGTATCCATGGCCCTTCCCAGAAACCTCTTTGCTAACTCCCAGACAAGTTAAAAAAAAAACAAAAACAGTTGCCATCAAGTAGATTCCAACTTCTGGAGGCCCAGTGTGTGTCAGAACAGAATTGGGTTCCATAAGATTTTCAATAGCTGATTTTCCAGAAGTAGATAGCCAGGCCTTTCGTCAGAGGAGCCTCTGGTGGACTCGAACCTCCAACCTTTTCGTTAGCAACAGAGAGCCTAACCATCTGCACCACCCAGGGACCTTGCAGACAAGGTCAGGCACCGCCATTGTAGGTTCTCAGCACTCCCTGCTCTCCTATAGAGTGTTTCTTGCTAGACTGTCAACTCCACAGGGTAAGGGCATGTCTGTCCTACACACCACTGCATGGCTGCCCAGCTCCCCACCTGGCACCTGTAAGAAAGTCAGTTACTCTTTCAAGGAAGAAAGAATTAAAAAAAAAAAATTATGTGTCACTCCTCCAAGATGTTTTCTCTGCCACATCTTCTGCTCTTCACGCACTTGGGGTACCCAGGGCTTCCTTTGCATATCTTGATTCATTTGTTTATTCATTCATTCTTTCATTCAGCAAGAATTTTCTAAGCACCAGGTCCCACCTCCATCCTATTATCAGTCCCTCCCACTAATGGAGCCCCTTGGGTAGGGTGGGGCAGGGGGCAGGGGCTGTGCTTTATTTATTACTACATTTCTTCCCCTCCTGGACTTTGTGTGGGTATAGGAGGTACTCAATAATAACTGTTGAGTGAATGAAGGAATGAACGAATGAATGAATAAGCAAGCTGATGAATCTTGGGGTATCCGTTGGGATGTAGCTAGTTTATAACTTAGCAGGACCCTGTAACTGAGTCCAGATGTCATCATTCATGTTACATCTTACTAAACAATTGATAATCATCGTGATGTAATAGTCTACACGTAAATATACATAAATCTGTTGCCATTAAGGCAGTTCCAACTCACGGCAACCCCATGTGTGACAGAGTAGAATCGATCCATGTTTTCTTGGCTATAATCTTAATGGATGCAAATTGCCAGGACTTTCTTCCGCGGTGGCACTGTGTGGGTTCGAACCGCCAAACTTTAGGTTAGCAGACAAGCGCAAAACGTTTGTGCCACCCTGAGACCTAAATATGCATATATAGGGATCGATATTGTAACTATACTGCACCATAAGACATACGGTAAAGGGAAAAATCTGTGAATTGAATTACCCATGGAGCCCTGTGGGACACTGAGGCTCAGGTGTCTGACTGTAGGGCCTGGAGCTGAGCCCTGTTCTAAGCCCACCCACACAAATCTCAGATTGGACACCCACCTGTGATCTTCGGTTAAAGCCTAAGGCTCTCTCTGGAGCAAAGCACAGCTCTAAACCAGTTCCTTCATTAATCTTGAATTGGCTTTTAAAAAAATATAGCTGGCAATTGCATCGGATTCCAAACCCCAAACTAGCAGGCTTACAGCAACAGGGCTTCTGGCCTCGGTTTCTCACTTCTTTAATACGGCACTGGAGCGTTAAAGAGCCAGAGAAGGTAATTAGCCCGCTGTCTGTGCATCACTGATCCCGAGGAACAGCTTAATTGCTCCTTCGACTTTGCTTGCCTTCGGTGTCTGCACTTGAAGCATGGACGTCTTTTCTCAATTGTCACAACCGCTCTCTCCCACCTGTGTCCTTCTGTCTTGCCTCTCCCCATGTTCTTTGTCCCCTCAAACCTTCCAAGCTTGCTTCTAATTAAGGACAACTACTACCCTCTTACCACGGGAAAAAAAAAATTACCAGCTATATAGAGATCTAATTCACATATCGCACAGCTCACTCATTCAAAGTGTACAGTTCAACAGTGGTGATGGGTACCCATCCTGAGGAACGTTATTAATGGCACTGAGCAGTACATGTAAAAATGTTGAAATGGCAAGCTTTTTGTTATATATATACTCACTACAATTTAAAATATATGTTCACTGGAGCCTGGTGGCACAGTGGTTAAGAGCTATGGCTGCTCACCATAAAGGTCGGCAGTTCGAATCCACCAGCCGCGCCTTGGAAATCCTATGGTGTAGTTCTACTCTGGCCCATATGGTCGCTACGAGTCAGAATCGACTTGATGGCCATGGGTTTGGTTTTGATTTTATATACATTCATCGGTTTTTGGTCTGTTCACAGATACGTATGACCCACACCACATGCAAGAAACCCTAGTGGCACAATGGTTAAGCACTCAGCTGCTAACTGAAAGGTCTATGCTTCGAGTCCACCGGGGCCCCTGGTGATCTGCTCCCATAA